TCTGATCATCCAGTCATTGAAGCCAGGACAAGTGGGTATTATCTGCAGGTGTGGGTGTTCTTGTGCATATGCTGTCTCTTTTTATCAGATGCACGCTTCACTCTCCACATTGTACGGCTTAGCTCGCCACTTCATTGCTGTTTTTCCCTCACTTCCCTTATCAGTGACAAGCGTGGCCACCAATCAGAGCGTGTATTCCCATTGAGTCTTATTCTTGGAAAAGGGTTTGCACTGAGGGGACCCGACCACTTGTCTTGATGTTTCCTGAGCAAGCAACTTGTTTGTTCTTGTAGTAACAGTCCATCTGCCTCTATTGTTTTGTATTTTTCCTGCAGGTCTTTCTTTCAAGAAGTATCTTCTGTTCTTCTAACCACTCCAGGCTGGTCTGCTCGTCCTTCCAAGAATTTTTTTGACTTCATTATCCAGTGGTTTCACCCAAGTAGGCACTACCTTCTTCCTTTGCTTGCAGCATCTCTCCTTCCCATCTCTTCCTGGTTCAGCCCCTCATCACTCATTCCTAGCTGGCCTGTCTATTTAGACTCTCCTAAAACTGCTTGTGTAGTGCTGTGGGTTAATGTGCCAGACGCAAAGCCATTTGAACTGCAAGGTCGGTGGTTCAAGCTCACCAGCCGCTCCTCGGAAACCCTATACAGGGTCGCTACTGGTTGGAACCGACTCGATAGCACTTAACAACAACAAAAATCCCATCAAGGGAGAGAGCAGAACCCTCATTCTTAGGTGAGGGGTGACCTTATGCTGTGGTCCCCAGGAGGACAAGTTGCTGTAGGGAGTCTTAACCAAAGGACAGGAGAGGAGGAGAGGCACTGAAGGCAAAGTGGTTGGTTCTGTCACTTAGAAAGCATGTTCTGGGTTCTGTGCTAGGTGCTGGATGCTGTGGTTGGGCTCATGTCTGCTCAGCCTGCCTGTACCTCTGACTCCCAGCAAAGGCAGCTTTAACAGCAGCTGACATGGTCCCCATGCCTTCCAAGCCCTGGGCTGCTGCTACCCTTGTTCCTGGCACTATCATCACCATATATCTCCACAAGCAGCTCCAACTGGCAAGGAGAGACAAGACTTGAGGACCAGACCTCAGATCCTGGCAGGTTTTTGGTGGGATATCTCAGTTCTTTGCCACATGGCCTCTCACAACTGGCAACTGACTTTTTTAGACAGAATGAGACACACACACACACACACACACAGAGAGAGAGAGAGAGAGAGAGAGGGCAGTGATGAAGCCACAGTCTATTGTCATCTAGACTCTGAAGTAACATCCCATCATTTTTGTTGTACTCCATTCACAACTAAATGAACAATGCTCAGTCCTGCATCATCCTCATGATCAGTTTCGGATTGGACCTATAGGGTCCATAGGCTTTTCATTGGCTGATTTTTGGAAATAGATTGCTAAGCCTTTCTTCTTAGACTGTTTTAGTCTGGAAAGTACTGAAACATATTTGGGTTTATAGCAACACATAAACCTCCAGCGAGCGTGCTTTAGCCAGGAATAAAATCTGGATCTCTCATATGGTGGGTAAGAATTCTACCACTGAACTGTCAATGCCCTCTTCCCTTAAACTAGAACCCCTATAAAACATTAGGGCCAGGCTCTATGAAGAAGAATGCAGCATCAGGATTGGAGGAAGAGTCACAACCTGTAATAGGCAGATGACACAATTTTACTTGCTGAAAACAAAGAGGACTTGAAGCACTTACTGATGAAGGTAAGAGCAAAGACTGCAGCCTTCAGTATGGATTACAACTCAAGGTAAAGAAAATAAAAATCCTTATAACTGAACCAATAAATACTATGATAACCAGAGCAATGATTGAAGTTGTCAAGGATTTCATTTTACTTGGATCCACAATCAATGCTCATGGAAGCAGCAGACAAGATATCAAGTGATCTATTGCATTGGACACATCTGCTTCAAAAGACCTTTTGAAGTATTAAAGAGCAAGGATGTCACTTTGAAGACTAAGATTTCAATGGTCTCATAGGCATGTGAAAGCTGGACAATAAATAAGGGAGACTGAAGAAGAATTGGTGCATTTGAAATATGGTGTTAGTGAAGAACATTGAAAGAACCTGCTGGAAGAACAAATGAACCTGTCTTAGAAGAAGTGCAGCCAGAATGCTCCTTAGAAGGATGGTGAGACTTGGTCTCACATACTTTAGACATATTATCAGGAGGGAGCAACTTCTGAAACCGTACAGCATGCTTAGTAAAGTAGTTGCTGTTAAGTGCTGTTGGGTCAATTCCTACTCATGGTGACTTTGTATAGGGTTTCTGAGGATTTAAATCTTCAAGGAAACAGAAAGGCTCATCTTTCTCTGGCAGAGCAGCTGGAAGGCTCAAACTGCAGACCTTGTGATTCACAGTCCAGTGCTTATTGTAAGGAGTCACCATGCTCCATGGTAAAGTAGAGGGTCAGTGAAAAAGAAGAAGACCCTCAACAAGATGGATTGGCACAATGGCGACAACAGTGGGCTGAAACCATAACAATCGTGAGACTGGCACAGGGCTAGGCAGTGTTTTATTCTGTGATGCATGATGTCAATGTGAGTTGGAGGCAACCGGAAGGCACCTAACAGCAATAGCCATAAAGCTTTATAGTAAGTCAGTGCTTGCCTTGGGCTTTGTTTCCTAGGGAAAGTGAGCAGTGTAAGAGGCTAGACCAGTGCTTAGTCTCCAGCTGAGCAAATAGCTTTCTCTACTTCCTAGTTCTGCTTTGGACCCTGACCCCAACTTCCAATTTCCAGTGACCTCCATATTATACTAATGAAAAAGAACATCACTTCTAAAGTCAGGAGCAACCATTTCTAAGTATGAACCATCATATCAATTTCTCCCAAATGAGACTTGCGCTTTAGACCATGTGGCTCTAACAGAATCATACTATGCTGGAGCTGTACCTTCAGTACCAGTTCTGTGCATGTGTGCCTTTGCTGGGATCCCATGGTTTCCCACAGCAGCCCCCACCTCCCCATGGAAACTTGTGAGACCAAATGCAGAAGCTTCTCTAGAAACTAGAGAAGCCCAAATTCTGGATTCTCCCACCCACCTGCAACACTCATTCTCTCATATTACTGAGATTACTTCTTTCCCATGATAAGAAAATAAATAAAGGCTTTTGATTTTCAGCTAGTGGGAGAGGTGGGGGTGGAGGGTGTATGTAATTTTCTGTGTCTTTTGCTTTTTTTCTCTCTCACTCCTACAGACTGGCTTCCAAACACCCCTTCCTCCACTCCTCCACGCATACCCCAAAGTTGAGCAGGGCATAGAAGCAAAGAGAAACATTATGTCAAGCCATTTTCCATTTCAGGCTAAAAACAAAAGCTTTAATGGAGATGATCAGTGCATTTGAGGACTTTGTTTGCTGGGAGATGGGAGATTGTGGTGCTGCTTCTATAAAAAACCAAAAGGGCAGTATATCTGAGTGTCCTTTCTCTTGGACAAACAAAACAAAATAAAACACACACACACACACACACAAATCTGCCAAATAGAAGAAACTCAACATATGATACTCATTGTTGTTGTTGTTAAGTGCCGTTGAGTTGGTTCCGACCCATAGCGACCCTGTACAAGGTTTCCGAGGGTGTAAATCCTTACGGGAGTAGAAAACCTCATCTTTCTCCCGCAGAGCGGCTGGTAGTTTCGAACCGCTGACCTTAAGGTTCACAGCCCGATTCGTAACCACTACACTACCAGAGCGTATGATACACATACTGCACTTCAATTTCACTCTGGAAATAGAAAAGTGACTGCAGTCAAGGGAGGTGAGCAGATTCCAGAATTTTCTTTCTGGAACCTTGGGTGAGATTTCTGCTTCACCTTGGGTCACCTACAGGCTTCTACTGGCTTCAGAAGTGGCTGAGGGTAGAGCAGTCATGTGGCCCTCGGAGGCTGAACCATTTCCCAGAGATCATCTGCGGCAATGTCATCCTGGAAGTCTTCCCCCATCAAAGACTTGTCTCAAAGGGCATCTCCGGGAGACAGGCTGTGTGACGCATGCGGCATCAATTTCCCTCAGCGTGGCTGTGCGCTGGATCCTCTGTGCTATTAATAATCTGCCTGCCGAGCAATTAAACTGTGAGCACATTTCAGGGACATTTCAGAGCACATTCCAGGATATAGCGGGGTTCTTGGCCTGCATAGCTCCTCCTCAAAATTGTGCCCATTTCAGATTCCAGGCTGACTTTAGCTGACCCAGATAGGTAACCCAGAACCCCAAGCTTGCTGACTAGGGCCATTTTTACCTTCAGTCTTAGAAAGAAATCACCCTGCATGCCTGTAGAGACCTTAGGCCACCAACTGCCCTGATGTCCTGTTTTTCAAGGTTCCAGATTAAGACAGACTAGAAAGAAAGATCTGGTGATCTACTTCTGAAAAGTCAACACTGAAAACCCCATGGCTCACCACAGAATATTGTCCAATAGAGTGCTGGAAGATGAACCTCTAGATTAAAAGGCCCTCAAAATATACAGTAGTTGCAACAACGGCCTCATGAAGGTGGTACTGGACCAAGCAACGTTTCTTTCTGTTGTGTTTGGTGTTGCCATGAGTCTGAGCCAACTCCATGACAACTACAACAATAACAACATGTAGGCACCTGACAACAACAACAATTGCACTGAATGATATACTAATGTTGAGTTCAGCTCTTAGCCAATGAGGTCCACTCATTAAATGTGGACAGTCTTGCTGCCTGTTACTTCTCTTTGTGAGTCAGGAAAATTAAAGCCTTAAGTGGTTCAGTCACTTGCCTGACCTTGGAGAAGGACACAGGAGGCATTAAGGGAAACTGTATATGAAGGGGCTTCAAAAAGTTCATGGTAAATGGAATGAAAAATAATGGACTTTTTCCTCGTATATTATATTTATCATCCACCGCATTGCATCAATCATCAAAGCTTTCCTTGGAAGGGTGGGAGGCCATTGTTATTGTTGTTGTTAGATGCCATTGAGTCAGTACCGATTCATAGTGACCCTATGCACAGCAGAATGAAACACTGCCCGGTCCTGGGCCAACAATCATTGCTACACTTGAGCCCATTGATGCTGTCACTTTGTCAATACATCTCGCTGGGTATCTTCCTCCTTTTCTCTGACCTTCCATTTTACCAAACATGACATCCCTCTCCAGGGACTGGTCCCTCCTGACAATATGTCCAAAGTATGAGAGATGAAGTCTGGTCATCCTGGCCTCCAAGGAGCACTCTGACTGTTCTTCATCCAACACAGATTGGTTTGTTCTTTTGGTAGCCCATGACACTTTCAATATTCTCCTCCAACACCATAGTCAAACACACCAATTCTTCTACCATCTTCTTTATTTACTGTCCAGCTTTTGCATGCATATGAGGTTATTGAAAATACTACTTTATAAAAAAACACTTGTGCGTCAGATTTGCCTAATGCACTACGTTGTTTGATTTCTTGACTGCTTCTTCTATGAGTGTTAACAACTTCAATCTTTTCTCCATTGATAAGAATGCTGTTTATTGTTTCAGTGGTGAGGATTTTTTTTATTTTTATTTTTTTTACATTGAGATGCAATCCATACCAAAAACTGTGGTCTTTGATCTTCATCGGTAAGTATTTTAAGTCCTCTTCACTTTCAGCAAGCAGGGTTGTATCATCTGCATATTGCAGGCTGTTAATCCTGATGCCATGTTTTTCTTCATATAACCCAGCTTCTCGGATTATTTGCTTATCATATAAATTGAATAAATACGGTGAAAGAATACAACTTTGTTGTACACCTTTCCTAATTTTAAATCATTTGGTGTTCTCTTGTTCTGTTTGAACAATGGCCTCTTGGTCTATGTACAGGTTCCTCATGGGCACAATTAAGTGTTCTGAAATACTCATACTTAGTAATGTTGTCCATAGCTTGTCATGATCCACACAATTGAAAGCCTTTGTGTAGTCAATAAAAGCACAGGTCAACATCTTTCTGGTATTCTCTGCTTTCAGCCAAGATTCATCTGATGTCAGCAATGATATCTCTCATTCTATGTCCTCTCCTGAACCTGGCTTGAACCTCTGGGAGTTCTCTGTTAATGTATACTTGCAGCCGTTTCTGTATTACCTTTAGTAAAACTTTACTCATATGGGATATCAAGCTTCAAAATCAATAAGTCTGACCTTCTATAAGCAGCAAGGCCAAGAAATGAAAAGACCGGCACCCTCTAAGGGCCTATCTCCCTTAACGCCTTGGATGGAGTTGTGGGAGGGTAGACTGGAGGCAAGGTTTTGGAGAAGAATGACTGGTTCCCCAAACTTTTCTAGGTACTTATATTTGGAGTCCTGGTATGGCACTGTGGCTAATGCACTGGACTGCAAAGTTGTTTGAACTGTAAGGCTGGCAGTTCAAGCTCACCAGTTGGTCCTCGGAAACCCTATACAGGGTCGCTATGGTACAGAACCGACTTGACGGTCCTCAACACCACCAATATTTGGGAACTGAATTTTTGGGACGTTCATCACATTTGGTTCCTGGTTGATTTGATACTCTGAAAAAGAACTCCCTCTTCTCCTTACTGCTGAGAAACGACTATCACAAGTGGAGATGGGCTTATCTCAGACGGATACGGGTTGCCACACCCCCTGATGTGAAGCCAGCCTGAGCATCAGGACTAATTTGTCCCAAGCTGCTGGCTGCCTGCTATTTCCTCCTCTCCCGCCCTTATTTGGAGCCCCTGCCAGCTCAACTGCAAACCAACCCGGAGAGCTGGGCGACGGCCAACCTCCACCCTCTGCTTCCCCATAGGGGTCCAGTTGCTGAGGAGAAAGAATCCTGAGGCATCACTGTGAGAGATAATCACGAACTCTTTTTTGCTCTTCTCACACCTTTGAAGTGGGAGCCTCTTGAGGCCAATCAGCAAGAATGTGGCTCTTGCAGCAGAGGGTCTGGGGGTGGGGAGGTTGCTGGAGCTGCTCAAGGCAGAGGGGCTGTGACAAGCTCCACTAGGCTGATAACTTTAAAAGGGCATCTTCTGCTGGTTCCTCACTCAGCTGCTTTATCGCTGCAAGTGACAGAATGGGGAGGGTTTCATCCCTCTTGCACTGTCAGAGAGCCGGGGGGCTATAAAAAGAGAAGGCACAGGGCAGCTGGGAGACAGAGAGGGACGAAGGCCACTTGAGGCAATTCAGAGAAAAGAGAAGAATCAACAACCATCAGATCACCTCTTGGCCAACATCAGCATGGGCACCTCCACCATCACCGTGGGCTTCCTCCTCTTCCTGACATTTCAGCTCCCACGTCAAGCCAGAGCGAACCCTGTGTACACCTCTGTGTCCAATGCAGACCTAATGGATTTCAAGGTAGGGCCAAGAAAAGGGGTTCAGCTTGGGACCAAGGGGCTTTCTGATACTGTGCCAATTCCTGTTGATTTTCTCCACACCCATGAGACCGCTCCCTTTTCTTGTATGTTCCTTTTGTAAAGAATTTGCTGGACCATTTGGAGGACAAGATGCCTTTAGAAGACGAGGTTGTGCCCCCACAAGGACTAAGTGAGCAAAATGACGAGGCTGGGGTGGCTCTCAGTTCCTTCCCTGAGGTGCCTTCCTGGACCAGGGAGGTCAGCCCAGCCCAGCGAGATGGGGGTACCCTTGGGAGGGGCCCCTGGGACTCCTCTGAAAGATCTGCCCTCCTGAAAAACAAGTTGAGGGGATTGCTCGCTTCCCCTCGGAGCCTGCGGCGGTCCAGCTGCTTCGGAGGCAGGATGGACAGGATTGGAGCCCAGAGTGGCCTCGGGTGCAACAGCTTCCGGGTAAGATGAATGGGAGTAGAAATACGATGGGGAGGAAAATGGTGGTTGTGTCAAAGAACAGGATCAGGGGGCACTTCCAGTAGGAAAAGGACCAGCTTGTTCCCTTTGAAATTTCAGCTCTAATTTGGTAGATGAGCCATCTGAACAATGCCTTCATCCTCAGCTACTGCTTCTACCCATTGTCCCATTGCTGTTGAGTCTATTCTGACTCATAGTGACCCCGCAGGACAGAATAGAACCATCCTATAGAGTTTCAAGGCTGAAAATCCTTACCAAAGTAGATTGCCCCATCGTTCTCTCTCAGAGTGGCTGCTGGGTTTGAACTTCAGTCCTGTTGGTTAGTAGCCAAGTGCTAAACTACTGTGCTATCAGGGCTCCTTCTGACTGCTGTTAGCACAGGGAAATGAAAGTTTTCATTTAGCCTAAGTCATCTTTGTACTGCTTCATTGTTCATTCCCAGAATTACAAGAGCCCAGAAGATCTACTAGCTCCAATTCATCAAACTCAAAGGGTCACCAGGCTGGGCATGGGGACTGGTGGAAATAACTGGTCAGAAGTCAATAGAACCGATGACCAAACCAAACATATCTGTGTTCTCTTTGTAGTACCGAAGATAATGGCCAGAGAAGAAAAGGTAGGCCAGCCTGGGCAGACTCCAAGACCCTCACCTCCTGGGATTTCTCACTCAAACTTGTCTCATCTCATGGCCATCGAGTTGACAAGCACCAGTCCCAGCTGTAGTACCCTGCCAACATTTGTCACATTTTATGCTAAATGTAGATAAAATGGGTTAATTGTATCTTCCTTGCCTCTTCCACCCCCATGCATTAACTTTTGGACACACCCCACCTGTTACCGAAAGCAGTTTGAAAGAAAAAAAAAAAAAAGAATAAATGTCAGCACCATGGACAGATGTCAATGTGTTTGGTTGGTGTGATTTCTCATTTCTGAGGGAAGAGAATTCAGTCCAATCTTTTTTGTCAAAGGAGTCCAGGTGACACATGGTGACTTGAATTCATGTCATTCTGAGGGATAAGGATGAGGAAGTTTGTTTCTGTAAAGATGACAGTCTTGGAAATACTATGGGGCAGTTCTACTCTGTCCTACAGGGTCACATCGTGTTGGAATGCCTCCGTGGAAATAAAAAAAAAAAAATGTTGCTTGTCAGAAGAATGCTGTTTCTTTCTTCCTACTTACATTCCTCCCTCCCTTTTTTAGGGGGGGGGGCGGGCACCTCAGATTGTAGTTCTCATTTTTCAAGTTGTTCTGCCTCTCATTCTAGCCTCAGTCACGGGTCCTGAGAAAGCCCCATTAGGCTGAAAGATTGGTTTAGATTGCACATGGCCAGACCGTTTATTAAAACAGGCTTACAAAACAACCATGCTTATTTTCTAGTTACATCTAACAAAGCTCGTGCTCAATAGATAGTTTTTGTATTTATAGTGATTTTTGGTTAGTTATTTTAAAAAGGCACTCTATAATTTAAGGGTACTCGCTAAATTTTCTCAGATATATTTTGAGAAATTGCTGGAACCGGAGGAGTTGCACTTCTAGTTTGGAAAAAGGGAGGCGATAGGCTGGCAAAACTGAAGAGGTGAAGACAGTGTTCACTTTGCTGAAAAGAGTATTTATGTGTCTTCCAGGTGTTAATATCTGTGCCTAAAAAATAACCTAAAGACCAAGATGACTGGACTTGTAGACTTTACTGGGGCAGATGCAGTGTTTTTGAATCTGCTACTGAAAAGAGCATTATCCTAAGTAGAAAATAACAGGCATTCAGTTCACCTAGTCTCATTTGCTTTTCTGCTAAATCCCACTCTCCACATAAGACCCCACAGCACTCCTCCAACGCTCCCCATGCTCATCTGTGTCCTTATGCTGTTTTCACTTGGAATGTCCTTAATCAGTCTTCCTGAGACATTCTCAAGGCTCATTATAAATGCTACTTGTTCCCGGAAGTCTTCCCTGATACCATGTGCCAGTAAAAATGAATCTCTTCTTCCTCTCTCCATAGGCAGCAATGCATCTGCAATTGTTACAATGTAACAAAATGTTAACCACGATCACTGAGGAGATTGTGAGGTTCTTGAAGACAAATGTCCCTTCAGCACCTCCTGCAGTACATGGCACAGTTGGTGCTCGATAAATGTTGGACAAAATGTCTTGGTCTTGTACAGAAATTTGGAAAAGGGAAAATGATGTAGCAGCTCACTCCTTTGAGAAGGGAGAGGAAGCCAGAAGAGTTGATGGTTAGAGTGTCAGGGGTAGAAATCTAATCTATAGAAGAATAGTGTCTGGACACATTCCCAGGGTGTCATTTTAACACAGTGGGTTCTCATTGGATGGAATATACTTAAAGTGCCAAGTACATAAGGTGGAAGAGGCCTCTAGAACTTAGAGGGAACTTCGGGATAGGGAGAGTAGCCTGAACACCTGACCGAGACAGACGGCTTCTACCACTGCTTGAATGGTGATCAGATGAAGCCATGTCTCCTGAAAAACAAAAGACAAGTGACCAAAAAGCAGTGACAGATGGCACCAGCGGAAGCTAGTCACAAAGCCTGAACATTTACAGATGCAGCAGTAAGTTTTTTTCTTCTGGTTAGATTTCAGGAGAATCTGTATAACTAATTCCTATCCGCAACAGTGTTCAGAACACAAATGGACTCTTGACCTATTGTTCTGGGAAGAGCAGCTCGAACAGCTTCATAATAGGTGGTCTTCTTGAGGCTGTGACGCATTTCAGTAAGAGCCAACCCATTGCATTAAAAAAGATGCAGTGTGTTCACGGAGTCCTTGGGTGGGGCTGTGGCTAACACACTTAGCTGCTAATTCAGTCTATACAGAGGCGCCTTGGAAGTAAAGGCCTAGAGATCTACTTTGAAAACATAATCCATTGAAAAACACTATGGAACACAGGGTGTGACCATGAGTTGGAATCCACACAATGGTTCTTTTTTGTTTCGTTGTTTTTTCAAATGTGCTCATTTGAAGAGAAAAACACAAAATGATGGTACCTTCCACGATTTCTGCTACAATATACAGGGTCAAATGTGTTATGATGAAGGTAGTTGTTGAACAGACAAGTGGACCCTCCTGTGGGCCTTGGCCCTCATGAACTGAAGAGGCATGCTGGGAAAGCTACAGAACACTGCTTCCCAGCTTTATAGCTTCTATGTATTAGAAAAAGAATGGGAATAAATAAGAAAGCAAGTACTATGCTAAAGAGTGTGCTGGAGGCAAAAAGCTAAAGGAGATGGAGGAAGACATTGTATTCGGACACGTTAATGGTTACAGTGAGAACTTCCATGTTCCAAAAGCTCAAATAAAAATAGATTTTTACACATTAAAAAAAATACAATTTATATACACAGTGGAATTAGCTAACATGACTGTACAAACAAACAGTGCAAACAGAAAAGAGGAAGCCACCCCTATGAAATAGCCAAAGTCTGCAGGAGCTGGGGCAACACTGCTTGTCAATACTGCATGGGCCCTGGTGAAAGAGCTCCTGTCCACCCACCAGGGCCATGGCGGTGCAGTTTTGCCTCAGAAATGTGAAATGATTAGCCAAGCAAGCAACTGTCTGTTCCAGCTCAGAACCATTACACAAGGTCAGGGTCAAACCATCCCCAGGACACAGAGGGCAGGACTAGACTCTTGCACCCATTCTCCAATCAACAGTGTAGTATGCTGGACACAAGTACTTCCAGCCAGGCCGTGGCCCTGTGGGCGGGTGTCTGGGTTACTGAGGCACCTCACGACTAGGAGGTGATGGAAGTCTTGCTCTCTGGGTCTGGGATACTAGGAAGATGCTGGAAAGGCTGGTCTGGTTTCTGACTCACAGCTCAAAGGACAAGGTTTACAGCTATTTTATCACAAGGAGAAAAACTGCACTCTTTGGGTTTTGCGGGGAAGGGTGAGGAAACAGAGTGCCTCTACAGAGGACCCTGGGCCCTCCTTGGCACGCATCCAGTAGATTCAGGAGGGGAGGAGGGAGGCATCTGCATTGAACTATCTGCGGGGACAAAATAGCCAGTGACTCAAATACAACGCGATGTGCACGAGGGACAAATTCCAGTAACATTCACCCGGGGAGGCCGTGAAACTGGTGGCATGAGACCCACCCTTCTTTGGAGACCAGAGGTCCTCTTGCAGGACTTCAGTTCTGCCAATTTCAGTGAGAGCTGGACGGAAGGGACTTGGGGTCTGATGGACTGCCACACCATTGTCCTGATTTGGTAATTGGTTTTTTTTTTAATTAAGGAAGAGCCAAATTCTGGCCAACCCCATGAAACAGACTGCAGCAATCCTACCTAAAGGCTTTACTTGTGGGGTCTCATGATTTCCCCCACTGTCGACTGGGAGCAGTGTTAACAGGTTAAGCACACCCACGGAGGCTGAGAACTTAAGGTACTGAAGTAATTTTGGTCAAAGAGATTAAGAAAATGGGGTCAAATAGAGGGGTTCACCATCAGTAAGAAAAGATCTAGAAGCAGCAACTACATATGTAAGTTTTTTAGGGAGTGCTGAGCCCGAGAGCTTTGCAAAGGAAGTCAGTTCATGGATGAGGGTGAGACAACAGGCTGCCGGGCCAGGCACTGAGGCCATGGGCAGATCCAAATTAGAAATCACAAAACACAAATCCTGAGGTCCCAGATATATAGAGAAGTAAGCAGAAGGAAAGTTAAGTGCCAACAACTGAAACCCAAAGGCTTGGTTTCAGTACCTGTTCAGTATAGGGCGATTTTAACCAGTCTGAGACAAACAAGGGGGCCTGTTCCTATGTTGAACAAAACAAGGGAATTTGTACTTACGTTTTTCCTGCTGATAGGGTGCACCCCCCCACATGCCTCTGGAAGTTTCCATTTCTGAGCCCCAAATAGGTTGGAATGGTTACCAGCCAGGGAGAGAATTTTATGGAAGGTAGAGACACCTCATCCCCCAGAATAAACCACCTGCTTTACCATAACACTACTTTTCCAGCTGCTTCACATACTGACTGGCTCAGGACCCTACTCACTTCCATTTTCTACAAAACTCCCTCAGGCCAAGAGAACAGTGTCACCGAAGGGTGCTCTGCTCCCAGTAAATCTGTGGGTGATGCCCAAATTGTGGCTGTGGCCGCTGTCCCAGAAAGGCATGGATGAGAAGTTCAGGAAGGCTGAGAAGTGCTGAGCATGGAAAGGCCCAGGCCAGATCAGGGTAGAATTGTGTTCCTCGGAGACCTTGAGGAATGTGCAAAATGCAGAGAAAGCTGAAGCAGTCAAAACCAGGGTAGATGTACCATTGACCCTAGTTGAAGATTTCCTGTGCAGAGACTATCATTGGGGCTTTGTGCTTCAGGAAGGTGCTGGCTGTATGGACATTCAAAGCACAGGGTAAGCCTAGAGCACCTGCCCACACCCAGGAAGCAGGTTTCCCTCCAAATGTGCTCCAGACAGTGGCCCAAGTTCCAACAAAGAAAGCCCTCCCTAAAGCCTGACTCATTTCCCCAGTGCCCAGTTCCTAAATGTGGCATTAACAGTGTTTTACAACTGGCATTTCCCCAGTTACCTCAGCCAAAATCCCTCCCAAGATTTAAGGCAACAGCTGGGTTCCCTAGGAAAAGAAGCAC